TGAACAATTTCCAGTATGAGGAGTGTGGCATCCGTGTGTGGAAAGTGTTCGACATCGGCCCTGGACGCCTCATCCCCTACAGTGGTCTTGGCGTTACACCACAAGGAGATACTGGGTTAAGGGTGATAAAGCCATTTGGTCAAGCTACACACAGGGGAAGTGTGGGTGAGAGCGTCAGGGACCAGTCCGAGATCTACTCTTGCAAAGAGACTGGATGCGTCCTCACGTTCAAGACCCAAGAAGAGGCAGACAACCATATGGACACAGGCAAGCACCGTCTTGAGGTGGACTGCGAGTCCATGTATGACCGCGTTAGGAGGAAATGGGCGGGAATTACGACAGGGGTGACGTTTGCTCCGGATGTGCTATCAACCTCATCGCAAGGTGAGGATAGTGGCAACGCTGTCAGAGGATATGACCCTAGACCATTGGGGTGGGCTCTGAAGATAACAGAACGACCCACCAAAATGACTGATAACGTCAAGACCTTCTTGATGATGAAATTTGAACAGGGTGTAAGAACTGGAAACAAGGCCGATTCTGTGCAGGTAGCGAGGGAGATGAAGACCCTCAGAAATGAAGACGGAGAGCTCACGTTTAAACCTGAAGAGTGGAGGACTGCGCAGCAAATCAGCAGCCTGTTTTCACATCAGACAGCGGCGCTGAGTCATAGGGGTATTAATGCGAAGGAAATCCCTGAGGAAGACATCGAGGCCGCAGAGTCGGAAATGGCCTTTGACACCCTTAGAAGTTTGGGGATGGATGTTATGGGTAAACCAAGCCATCCAATCATCGTGGGTGTTAGCAATATCTGCGAACTTGTAAAGACCAAGAACCTGGACTCACTCAAACTGGCAGTTCTGAAAGGAATCTGCAATCAGCTACACTTGACGACAAGTGGACCGCTGTCAAGAAAAAAGACTCTTTGAGGCCATTGAAAAATTTTCTGAGAGTTGCGCATGTTTTCAAAAATAACGTCACATGGTTTAGTAGGGAGGATCTCTTTGCTTCTACCCCATCTTCTCTATTGGGGCCTTTTAGATAGGTGCAGGGAGACCATTACATAACAGGGTTTATACTTACTTGTAAAATTGTGAGCAATATAAGACTGAAAACTGAATGAATGCTATGGTAAACGGAGTAAAACGAAGACTGCAAGGATTTTTATGTATTGCTTAACGCCAGCTGTCCGTTGCCATGCTTAAATGCTATCCTGAATAAAACCAATCCGGGTTTTCTTCTTCGACGAAAAAGCTGTGTTTCAAGAAATAGGAGGAAGATTTCAGCAGCAATGAATACGGATTGATCAGCTTTAGTAACGTTTTGTCACTTTCCCAGCCAGGAATCTATTACGTAACAGTGTATTAAGTTTCGAATCGCTAATTTGCACAGCCATGTTACTTAATGTTCGAATTACATTTCCTTCTCCACCGAATTGACTGTCATTTCGGCAACTTGTTTGCCTTCCATCACACGTGGTGAAAAAATAATTCTGGTAGTCGCCAAAACTGGCATACTAATATGCATGTCCGTGGTTATTAAAATGACAGAATTCGATTCGCGAACTGTCATGTTCGTTGTGGACTGTCAACGTCTGCAAGATCGAAACAACANGCAATAAACACGGATTGATCAGCTTTAGTAACGTTTTGTCACTTTCCCAGCCAGGAATCTATTACGTAACAGTGTATTAAGTTTCGACTCACTAATTTGAACAGCCATGTTACTTAATGTTCGAATTACATTTACTCTTCCACCGGATTGACTGTCATTTCAGCAACTTGTTTGCCTTCCATCACATGTGGTGAAAAAATAACTCTGGTGGTCTCCAAAACTGTTCACTAACTTACAAGACACAATCTTGAGTCTGTCTGGCATACTAATTTGCGTGTCTGTGGTTATTAAAATGACAGAATTCGATTTGCGAACTGTCATGTTCGTTGTGGACTGTCAACGTCTGCAAGATCGAAACAACAATAGTTTCAAAAACAAGAACTTAAAGAAAATTTGTTTCATTAGGTGTAGGGTCATCATCGCTTGTATGTAATATCCACAAATACGCGAAGCTTTCCGCGGAAAAATCGACAACATACAAATTAGTCAAATTTGAAGAAAGCTTACGGGAGGGGATTTTGACCCACCAAATGACAAAATATGCGGTTGAAGTATAACCACTTATCTGAAAACGTTATATTTTTCTCTTCGTTATAGTAAAAAAGCCAATAAACGCCTCTAACATGTCGTAAATCAAGAGGAAATTTTTCCCGGAAAAACTACAATTATGCAAATTAGGAAATTAGGTTAAAGTCGCGAGAAAGCTCACGCAACAGGATTTTAACTTGCCAAATGAGAGTTTGCGTATTTGTAAAGACTTTAAGACAGACTAATAAAAACTAGTTTTGATCTGGAAATAAACTGCTGCACT